TGGATGAGAAGAGTCAATTATGCGATTGACGAACTTAATAATGAAAAGTAAATATTTAATCTTTAATGGTATATTATACGAACAAACAGGAGGGTTAGCTATGGGATCGTGTTTGTCTCCAGTCTTAGCCAATAACTACATGTATCAATTGTAAGTCCGGCTTTTTCAAGAGTCACTCCTGGTTCCGAAACTATTGGTCAGATATATGAATGATTACCTTGCTATCTGGCAGCATTGCAAAGAGTGTTTGGATGACTTTCTTGGTTTAATGAATAGAGTAGATAAGGCGACTAAATCCGCTATGGAGTTAGAAAATGACAATAAGCTGTCCTTTATGGATACCCTAATTAGTAAAGAATGAAGCAAACCGGGTATAGATATATGTAGGAAAGTCACAAATGCTGGCTTCCTTCTTAATTTCTTCTTGAATCATACTTATGGTGTTAAGGTAGGTGTAGTGAAATCAATGATAATAAGGAGTTTACGCCTAGCGGACATAAATCATCAAGAACATGAGTTAGAAAGGCTAGGATAATTTTAATTGAGAACAATTATTCTTAAGAATTAATTGTTAATAATTTCAAAATATTGAGAAATAGGGTGAAGGAAAACTATTATTTTGGCCAAAACAAGCAATTAGACAACTTTCAACTTGGTTCCTAATGATACCATCATGTAAACTTTCAAGAAAGATATGCAAATTATTGAGGAAATGAAGTCAAGACCAGGTATTAAGAAACAATAACATTTCCTCGATTATGCCTTCTTTTAAAAAGTCTACCGACGCCCTCTGCAGATTAGGTTGTTATCAGGTTTTGTGTTGATGTAGTAGTATTTGTGAGGAAGACTTGTCGACCGATACATAAAAGGCTATCAGAACATAGAGCCGCTCGCAAAGGTTTGTGGATTCAAAAATCGGAAGTATCTGAATATGTGGTGGCTACAGGACACAAGATAGAGGCTTACTGTGTCACTAACTGCCACATAAGTATGGTTCCAGTATCTTTACTGGATCTTAGTTGATTTAATTAGCAGTTGATAACGGAGAATGTCTCTATAACTGTGAAAAATAGCTAATTGGGCTGTCTATGCAGACAAGCCTTTACTAGCATTGAATTTTTTAGTGTTGACTCTACTAGACACTTCTAATTTTCTCTGCATTATCCTGCTTTGATAAGCTTCTCATATTTCTCTCATCATATAACCTTTCCTCTTTTTTCCCTCGTCATGTCCTTCATCCATCCTCCTTCCCATTATCTCCTTTAAATATTACCCTTAAATATTGCTTTTTATTTATGATGCTCAAGAGTACATTTTTATCACACTTCGCATAAGCATTCGGATAAGTGTACTCTCATGCAAATATAAACACAATGCATAATTTATAAATGTTTACAGACGTATACCCCCCCACGAGCCCGGTCCTCTTCGAGCTCTACATCCCCCCTCCAATGCTAAAAAATGTCAGCCAACCCCTTTTAATCCACACCGCTTTTCTTTACCAAGCGGGTGAGTCGCTGTTTACCTGCATTCTTGTCTATATTTTCATTATTCGAGTTATAATCTTTAGCCTTACATATTATATAATCGTGTTTTAAAAGGCTTTATCCAC